TATATATATATATATATATATGGTAAAAATTTGTTAAGATTTAATTTGAGTGTACGTCGTCTAAGTGTAAGCAGATTGAGTGTAAGTGTATTTGAGTGTAAGCAGATTTTGAGTGTACTCCGTTACACGTAAAAAAAGCTGATGGCAATCATTTTCCGATATGATTTTTCCAAATCCTTTGGGAGCTAGCCGTCAGTTTTTATGTTTGCGGGATATTCTGATGATTACAATTACGATATTGACTTATTGTTTTAGATTTGTTGAAATCATTTCTCTCAATGCGTTAACGGTGGAATTCATTCATTTTTTCAGCTGAAGCCAATTCAACGAACTCCTTCAACTTCAATTCATGGCTCCATTAAATTGGACTTAATTTATTAGTGTATCCACCTACCATCATCCTGTTGCCCAGCCACTTTGAAGGGTTATGAGTGTATTGTTTAGCTAACAATAAGGAAAATTTGCTCACAATCAGTGTTTGATCGGTTTTTATTCAGTTGCAATAGATAGTTCTTTTTTTTNTTTTTTTTCGATTTTGTGAGTTCTTCCCGAATGTGAGATTTTTTTGTTACTTCTTTAGTTGGAATTTTTGTTTCGTTTGTTTTTTCTTTGATATTGAATTGACATTTTCGAGGAGAGTGTCGTTGTATAAAAGTTGGACATGAACATTGTGTCGTCGCATAAAAGCTTGAGATGAACAAATGAAATTCATTCATCACATAACATTTTTCAGTTAGTCGTAATAAGCGTAAAGTTTTCACAGACGATAGTTTTGCATCTGTGCACCCTTCGTTATAGTGCACTACTTCATCGAGCCGATCCGGTGTGGTTGTGCCGGTGTGTGCCGTTTGAAAGCGATTCTCATGAAAATACACTTTTTTTCATGCCATAAGCAGATGAGAAAATTAAACTTATTGCGAAAAAAAGGGGACGTTTAATTTTTTAAGTCTCGCTTGTTCCAGTATATTATTAGCAGATTTATCAAGTCTAGTAATCAAAACAATAGTTTTTATTTTCAAAAGAAAAAAAAA